TGTTGTTATTTGTTTTGTTTTATTGTTGTTGGTATGATTGGAACATTTATGTGTTTAATTTGTGGATCTATTGAACTGGTATATGTAACAGTAAACTGTAGACTTTATTTTTCAGCATTTTTAGTTGTTTTAGTTTACTGTTTATGTCTTTAATTTATCTTTTCTTAGCAAATCCTTTGATATATTATGTCTCATTTAATGCTTTAAAGCCTATACTTTTTAAGTTAGCACCTACAAAATTTCAAGAGCAAAGTTTCATATTCATAATCCTCTACAAGTTAGTTTTATTTTTACGCATTTACTATTTTTTTTCACCTGCAACTTTTTTGTACAACATGCTTTACTTATTATTTAAAAACTTAAGTTTGGGAGAAAGAAAATTTTCTTTAAAAGAAGTAAACTAAATTTTATTTGTTTTCAATTAACTATACTTTTAAAAATTAATTTAGCATAACCATGGATATTAGAGTTTAACTTTAAATAACTATATTTTTGTTTGTAAATATTATGGTAAATTTAAGAGATGGAAGGAGGTGGACAGAGGGGCGAGCGAAGTCTCCTCCCTGGGTAGAATTCGCAGCCACCATGGAATGAGGGGGAGGGGTTAGGCTAAACTCCTCTCCCTAAGGAAAATGACCCTTTTGCCCCCCAAAAGAAGCATTGGATCTATCTAAATGGGGGCAAAATGGGAATTAACCACCCACTTTTCAAGTTCTCAGGCAAAACTACACAAAAGTTGTCATTTTTGCAAATTGGACGCAGAGTGGTGCCTAGGCGCCAGATTTGGGAGCTTAGGCGCCAATCTCGCAGCCAAAACTACCTATTTTGGGTGTATAGGTGCCAGGTTTGGAAGTCGAGGCGCCAAACTCTCAGGAAAACTCGGTTATTTGGTCTGTTTTGGGCGCCTGGGCTCCTAGAAAAATGTCCAAGGGCCAAAATCAAGTATTAGACCTCTGAGGGCTCATGCTAGATGGTCTGGAAAGGTAATTTACGTGTGTGGGCCCCTAGAGATAGCTATGGGGCACCAGTCTAGCCCGAAACCCTGATTTTCGCCGAGAACGCCTGACGAAGCATTTTCTTTTATTGAACGTTATTGGAGGCTCCATATGAGTTAAATAGAGTCCCGTAACTTCAAAATGATGTATTTTTAGTCATTCATTGGAAAAACTGGTGTCAATGGTTGTTTTAAACCACGGTACAAGTAGGGTGTCCCGAACCTTAATTTTCTTTGTTGTGCGTGTAAGTGGACTCCGTAGCTTCCCATGGTCGTGGGAGGCTCTAGATGAAAGTGTGGTTACTTCTAATCATCAATTTAAGCACCAACCACGTCTCACATCCTGGATGGACCTCCCAGAAGGAATTTTTTGAGGGAGAGGCAAATAAAAAGAGAAAAAAGATAAGGAGGGGGAGAAAGAGGGACACAGAGTTTTTGAGGGTTGGAATGAAAGAGAGATAGGGAGTGCAAAAGAGAGCAAGTGAGTGAGAGAGAAAGTTGATAGAGTAAGAGAGATAATAAGAGGGAGAGAATGATAGAGTAAGTAACTAACTACTTGCCCCGAACAAGCGCCAGAAGGCCCCGGGCGGGTGTCTGAACTACAGGATATTACGGACGGGTCGTAAACTATCCTAAGTCATGCAGATGGATTCCCTACCCTTGTGACATCAAAAATTGATGCCAATAGAGTAATTATAAATTCATTAGTACTTGTTAGCATAACTTTAAATCAACTATATTTCCAATCTAAGGACAAATTTAGTAGACTATAACTTTTCCAAAACTTAACTACATCTTTTCTCTGTGGGTTCGACAACATGGGCTCAAAAGTCTCTATTTATAAAATCGATGTGCGAGCTTGCGTTAGGCTCTAGAGTGTGAAGTGCCTTAACTTAAGTTAAGGCCGCATCAACCAACATCTACAATTAAATATTTTTTAGGATATTTTCCTGTACACAAGGGAGTCAAAATTAGATTAACTCATTAAGTTTGTGAGCATGTTTAGCATTTAAACATAAAGAACAAAAAAGCAATAGTTGGATATTCATACTTTTAGGCTTCAACATTCAAAGAATAGACTCATGGTTAATTGTCACAAATCTTGTATTAGTCTAGATAATTTTGAAGAAGCCTAACCTAAATTCTCATAATTATGACATGTAAGCCTTTCTAAAGCCATTAAATAAGACTTACACTTAATTAATTTGTCCATATACAACATGTTAATTAAGAAATTTATAGATTAATTTAATTTTTTTTGGGAAGAAAGGTAACTTAAGACTTCATAATATCACAAATCAACATTGTTGAATACTTAAATAGGATTTCTTACTTCAGCGATCAGTCCATACACATATGTTAAATAAGAAATTGTCGCATTGATTCTGCATTTTTTTATGAAAGATAACCTAAAACTTCATAAATAACACAAATCATCATTGTTAGATACTTAAATAAAATTTTTACTTCAATGATAAGTGTATACACAACACGTTAAATGAGAAACTATTGAATTTTCTCAATTTTTTTGTGAAGAAAGACAATCTAAAATTTCATAAGCATAAAAAATCAACATTATTAGTCTTAAATAAGGCTTTTGTTTCAACAATCAGTCCTTATAGAACATGTTGAATGAGAAAATTTTATATTAGTTCAAAACTTGTAAAGAAAGGTAAGCTAAACTTCATAAACAACACAAATCAGTGTTGTTAGAAACATAAAATAAATATTTTATTTTAATGATCAAACCATACGCAACATGTTAAATGAGAAATTTTTACTTTTTGTCAATTTTTTTATGAAGAAAGGAAACCTAAAACCTTATAAACATCATCATTCAACATTGTTAAAGCCTTAAATAAGGCTCTTACTATAGCGAACATTCTATGCACAATATGTTAAATAAGAAAAAAATTCCATTAATTAAAAATTTTTATGAAGACAAACAACCTAAAGCTTCATAACTTCAGAAATCAACAATGTTTGAGCCTTAAATAAATCTTGTACTTCAGTAATCATTCTATACACAACAAATTAAATGGGAAATTTTTACCTTAATTTTTTTTTTGTGTGAAGAAAGATAACCTAAAACTTCCTAAATATCTCAAATCAGCATTGTTAAGGATTTAAATAAGGCTTCTACTTTAGTAGTTAGTTCACACACAAAAAGTTAAATGAGAAATTTTTGTATTAATTCAATATTTTTTTGAAGAAAAGCAACATAAAACTTCATAAATATCATAAATCAACATTCTTAGAGCATTAAATAAGACTTTTACTTCGCTAATCAATCCATACACAAGAAGATAATATCATAAATCTTGCATTAGTATAATATATTTCTGAAGAAACATAACATCAATTTTCTTAATTATTATCAATCAATATAATTAGAGACTTAAAAAGACTTTTATACACAGTATGTTAAATGAGAAATTTCTACATTAATTAAATATTATTTTGATGAAAGTCCATTTAAACTTTATAGATATTGCATTTCAGCATAAATAAATAATTAAATACAACTTTCATTTCAGAAAACTATCAATACACAAAACATAAAATAATGTTTTTAATTAATTACATCTTTTACTGAAGAAACATAATATAAATTTTCATAAATATTACATATCAACATTGTTAAAGCTTTAAATAAGAATTTTATTTCATTAGGTAATCAATAGAGAACAAATAAAATGAAAAAAAATCCCATATTAATTCAAAATTTTCGTTAAGAAAGGCTACCTAAAACTTCATAAACAATGCATATCAGCAAAGTGACCCTTTAATAAAACTTCAACTTTAACATTATGTTAATACATAAGAAGAAAATACTATAAAACCTACATCAATCTGATATAACTCTAAAGAAAACTAACGTAAATTTTGATAATTTTCACCAATCAATATTGTTTGAGCCTTAAATAAGACTTTTACTTCGGTTATCAGTTCATAAACAACATGTTAAATATCAATTTTCTACAAAAATCAAACATTTTTGTGAAGAAGTTTAACCTAAAACTTCATATATATAATATCGACATTATTAAAGGATTAAATATGGCTTTCAATTTATGATTTTTTCAATACGCAACAAGCAAAGTTTAAAATTCTGCATTAATACAACAAAAAAACCAACTCAACGTATGGAGTATTACATAGACTATTCCAATAAATGACACTTAAACATCAAAGATCTATTTTCAAAAAAAACTTGAAATATTACATAAGACTTTTTCACAATAAATAATGTACAACATTTATCAACATTGTAGATTGTTCACACTCTCAAAAAATTCTAAACTTTAATACCTTAAAATTTGATTTTCTTTGAAGTCGAACATAATGGTGTCTCAAAGCTCGTTTGCTGAAAAACTCTGAAAGAATGAATTTCTCTGAATTTGACATTATCATTCAAAAGATTATCAAACCTAATACCTTAAAGTCTTGTAGCCCTAGCAGATTGCAGAGGTAGCTGGTAGGGTGAAATGTGAAATGGAGGGGCAAAAACTCTTTTGTCAAAACCCTAGCTTAAGAATGGGAGACAAATTTGCGTACATAAGACGTAGGCAGCGCTGCGTACGTCAGTGAGGTTATTCAAAGGTTATTGCGGGATTATATCCGTGTTATACCCCATTTAACTTTTTTGTAACTTACCTGTAACCTACTTGTAACTTCTTGTAAGTTACACGCTTCTGTTTCATATATTTGTATGTTATAAGTAGGTTACTGGTAATAACGCGGATATAACCCCCCAATACCCTCTGAATAATCTCCCTTACGTACGTAGCGCTGCGTACGTCTTATGTATGCAAATTTTTTCCCAATAAAGGTCACAGAAAAACGAGTGTGATAAATGATAAACTCTTGCCATAATAATCATTTCAGATTAGTCATTGATCTGTGCTCAAATTCTTTTTTTTTTTTTTTTTTTTTTTTTTTTTTTTTTTTTTTTTTTTTTTGGGTAATGGATCCAACCATGTGTAGAATTGGTGTGCGGATAATATTTCTTCCTAACGCGCACCCCGCACCCCGCACCCCGCACTCACGAATCTCGTTGAGCTCCCTGAGGAGAAATGTCGGCGAGGGGAGCGAGGAAGGCGCGTCTATCTCGAGCCCTGGATTCTCACGTCAGAAACATCGAAGAGACGTTCCAGGTGATTCCCGATCTTCCACTTCTCGGTGTCTTCATCTTCCTTATTTCTATTTTATGGGTTTTAGATACTGGATAAACCCGCTGCCTCTTCTCTCGACAAAGTGGAGTGGTCGCAAGTCATCAAGCTGGGGGATGAAGTATCCAAGCAAGCTACTATCGGTATCCCCACCCTTTGTTTCTTCTTCCTGTCGGAAATTGCTATTTCTTAAGTCTATTATTGGCGTGGTGTTTGTATGGAAAATCAATTAGTTTTTTCTTACTGAAGTTAGCTGTTTCGGCTCTTCTAAATCTTTTTGGGTTTAAAATGATATTATTTGACTTCAGTCTGCATTTTTTTCATCTGATTATGTAATTTCTAGCACCAGTAAACCACCATGTGAAGTGTGATTATAGAGCCAAAAGCTATTTTTCCAATTTTTTTAGAAATTATCAATTTGATTTTATTCACACAATTCTCTGCTTGGGCGCTGTTTAGGTACAAGTATATCTAGTAAATATTTCAAATTCAGATTTAGAAAATCTTGGAACTGTCAAATCCTGAAATTTTTTTTGGCATGCTGAATGTTAAATCTAGTTAAATTCTAATAAATTTTTTGACAGTTATTTCTAGGATAACGAGAAGAAGAGGCACATTGTTGATAAGTGTTGTCATTTTCTTAAATTACATTCAAGGTTTACTAAATCTGACATTTAGATTAAAAAAGGTGGAAAACATGTTTAAAATGGTAATTTGACTTGTGCGGCTCGCAAAAGTTTTTTAACAAGAGTTTAGCCTAAATCCCAACTAAATCTTGCTGTCAAGCAACCAGAGGCAAACCTAGATTGGGGCCTGAATTTTGGAGTTTACTCCAACGAGAGTGGCACTTATGTTTTTTTGCCGTCAAGCAAACAGAGGCAGACCCAAATTAGGGCCTGAATTTTGGAGTTTAGTATAACGAGAGTGGCACCTTCAACCAACCAGAGGCGGACCCAGATTAGGGCCTAAATTTTGGAGTTTAATCTAACGAGAGTGGCACTTACGTTTTTTTGCCGCCCCGCCCCTTGCCTTATCAGCTCTTCCATAAACTGGTGCCAAAATCTTGGTGGAGCACAAAGGCAAGACGGCGGTTAGGAAGATGGAAATGTGGGATTAAGGATGGAAGTGCGTCAAGGAGGAAGAGGAGATCATGGCCATGGAGATGACCGACAGTGTGGTGGCGTGGTTAATGGAGGAGTCGGCGGATAACTTAATTGCGTTGGTGTGATTAATTGTGAATTTCTTACTTCATCAAACGAAGCTCTCTTTTAATGAGATTAATAAATTTAATATCTTGTACTGAGAAAATGAATGATTGCTCCATCAATACATCTCCTATTAAATTTACACTTAAAAATTTTGTTATTCTTGTGGTTATAATGCATGGGAAAAAATTGGGAAATGACCTTTTAAAAAAAAAAGAGGATTTACTTACACACCACTCAATTCTAATGTATTTATATATCTAACACCTAAACTTCAATTTTTACATACATAACACCTTATATATGCGTGGAATGGTGTATTTCACTTTTTAAAAATTTAAACAATGATATTTTTCATGTTATATGAAAGATTTTCGTGTTATAAATGTGTTAGATATGTAAATACAAAGGAATTGGGTGATATGATGTGGATTATCATTTTGTGGCTATAATAAATCATTTGAATCGATTAATCAAGGAAATTTTTTGGAACTATTTCATTTTCTTCCGAATCATAATTAAAAAGTGAAAAAAGTTTTGCTCCCCTAAAAGAAGAGGCTGGTTCCACCCTGGAAGAAATCCCTAAAATTCATTTTTTTTCCTTGAAATTACAAGCTTTACAGGAACAAAACAAGTAGAAATCATTGTGATATCCTTCTCTTTGGCTAAGATTTGTTGTGGATTGATGGTCTAAATGCATGGTTTGACCTTTGTATTGTGGGTGTCATTTAACTTTGAGGATATTATGAACTTGTTTGACATGTATATACATGTATTTATGCATGCATGCAACAAACATGCATCCGTCCATGCATGCATGCAACATGCATGCATCCATGCAACATACATGCATTCATGCATGTATATCTGTACATAAATAAACGTATATATATCTATGTGGATATATGTGGATATATATGTATATATATCATTGTCATTGGCCTTGTTCTAACTGCTTGCCATCAGCTATGCATTGCTTCTATTCATGCAACTTCATCTTTATTTATTTTATTTTATTTTATTTGGTGTACTCCTTAACTCTGTTACCCATCTTTTAAGACATTTTTACCCCTTTTTCATTTCCAAGCTTACCTAAGTTTATGAATTTATTCACTACAATCTTTTATTGAAATGTAACTTCTCTATCAAATTAATGTTCAGTTCCCTTTAGTATAGCCCAAAGGTCCAAAGTTCCAATTATGAAGAGTACCTTTAAAAATATAAGAGTAAAGTTGTGTATATAACTCTTTTCTAGACCTTGTATTAGTGGGATGCAACCAGTATGTCCTTTTTTAATCAATTTCAAACATGAGGTTCTACCCATCGTTGTTAACATCATTAATATTAGTGTTATATATGATTTCATGCATTTTTCTATTGTTTAATCAACTTTTGGATGCTTCAGCTTCAAAAAAATTTCAAACATTAGTTTTGATCACATTAGAAGAAAATTTTCATAGGTCGGAATGGAATAAATGACTTGAAATTTAATGTGTGGGTGCTTATTTATTATCTATCATATTCAAGGGCCCCGACTGATGAAATACTTGAGTTAAAGTTAGTTTGTAACTGAGCTTCTATAAATTGTGCAATCATCCTCATTTTTTTCTCATAGTTGATGAATAGTCAGTCTATTAAAACTAATGACATTTGATGCAGTACTAATTTTATATTGTAGATTAGTATGCATGGTATGATTTTTTTTCTCTGGGGTCTAACTGCAAAATGTTTTAAGCTAATATTTTTATGTCCACCAACCTCTCTTCTTATAGCAGAATAAAGTTTAATATTTTCTCCTCCCTCCCTGTCAATGTCTTTCTCATACACACACTCAAACTTTCAGATATGGTTTCCGGGATGATACATGTGAATCATAACTTCGAAAGCAATTCAAATGTTAATCTTGTTGCTTTTCTTAGCTTGTTTTTTAGGATATGATGGTTTTGTAATTTACAACCTAAAATACACATTATGTTGAATTTTTGTTATGATCATAGCGAAGAAGTTAAGACATACAGATCAAGGCTTTGTATTGTAGGATCTGTTTTTTTATGACCCTTGTATTGTAATTTGTGTGATTTCTGAAAGGATCGCTGGCCCTAATTTATTTTTCTCTTATTTTTTTATTTTATTTCTATTTTATGATGTCTATGGGCGATGTATGTTTATCTTTTCTCTGATACAATGAAAATAAGACTCGTGAGAGTTTCTTCTATTGTTTTTTTTCTACATGATATCAGAGCATTATACCGGCTTAAAAATAGAAACTAAGTGTCATACAGAATAAAGTGCTATGCAGTGGGAGCCACCTCTTTGAATTTATAGGGGTACCTTTAAAATCCTTTATGCTTGGTGAATGATTATAGAATAAGAAAACTGATGAGGACGTCAGTTTTTTAAGTGCGGGAGATTGTGAACCCCTAAAAGTTGAATGAAGCTAGACTCTCAAACATCGAGACACCTATTGGTGTAACGGTTGGAGTTTCAATTGAAACTCCGAAGTTACTCGTGGCCGCATGGGAGCACTCCTGGGATGGGTGACCTCCTAGGAAGTTACACCATTAAGGAAAAACCGTGAGATCATTAGGCCAAAGTGGACAATATCTCATTGGATGAGAGTTTGAGCTATTACAAATGATATCAAAGCAAACTTAAAGTGTTCCTTCCGGCCATTCTTCTTATTCTCTTAGGTTAGGCTCTCAACTTCTTTAAGGTTAGGGTTTTCATTCCAACTTTTTATTTTATTCTCTAAGGTTATGGTTTCAATTTCAACCTTTGTTCTTATTCTCTAAGTTTAGGGTTTTCACTTTTAACCTTATCCCTCTTGCTAAGTTATCCTTCTATTCATTATGTCTTGGTTCTTTGAATTCTCTTCAAAAGAATCGACCATGATTAATGGTGAAAATAAACCAATGAGAAGTCTAGATCTTATCGCTTGAACGGAAAAATTTACCTTAAATGATCACAAGTTGTGACGCTCTTTCTAAAAGAAAAGGGAAATATCCAACACTTTGTTGATCTCATTCGAAGCCCAAAGACCCAAAGTTAACTTTGGGAAGAAATTGAGTCCATGATAATTGGACTTTGATGGAAGGACTGATATATTCATCAAAGGATTCTGCTGCCCAACATTTAAAATATCATAAACAAATTTGGAATAATAAATCTCCATCATCAAGTTTGAGGGAGAGTGTTGAATTTCTGCTCTAATCATATCATAAAACTTAGGGCGCACGGATCAAGGCTTTGTATTGTTGGATATGTTTCTCTATGACCCTCATATTGTAATCCGTATGTTATCCTAAAGCATTACCAACCTATATTTTTTTCTTCTCTTTTTTGGTTTAATTCCTATTTTGTAATGCATATGGGAGATATATTTATCTCCCCTCTTGTACAAAGAAAAGTGAGGACTCTTGAGAGTTTCTTCTATTATTTTGTTTTCTACACATTACATTATTTACTCATGTATTTTTGGTTTCTCAATTTCCTCTTGATAAAGTGTGGGCCTTTATGATGTTAGTTAGTATTCTAAATTGGACATTTACATACATACCACCCAATTCTTATGTATTTACGAATCTAACACCTAAACTTCACCATTTACATTCGTAACACCCAAATCTTTCATATCACATAAAAAATGCCACTATATTTAACTTTTATAAAGAGAAATTTACCTTTTCATGCATAGTTAAGTTGGCATGTAAGTAAATTTGAAGTTTAGGTGCTAGATATGTAAATACATAGCCATTGAGTGGTATGTATGTAAATCTTTCATTCTAAATTTGTTATAACTCCAAATATTCTTAAAAGAAAATTGAGAATTGTAGTCTTATAATCTTTTAAGATCAATTGGACAGTTGGGATAATGCTGTTTATTATGTTGGTGATAGAAAATGAATTGTCTAAAATTGCCCACATGAACATAATGTACTATAAAGTGGCTATAAAGAAATTTAATTTAGCCCTGACAGAAGTTTAAGTTTGAAGGCCAAATAATTTCTGTTTGATTTTTATTGACGTCTGTGTCCACTCCTTGCAGTCGGGATGCTTTGGAGCAGAGAAGATCCAGAAATCAAACAGCTGAAGGAGAGCATGGAAGCATATTTCAATGTGCTTCAAGGCTTTGTTTTGCTCTGTCATGGTAGCACAGTGGGTGCTGGCGCAATCCTTCATGCAACTATCCGTGCTTCTGCAAGACAAGTCATTGATAGTAGCCTCACACTGTTAAAGCAAGCTGTCGCCTTTAGTAAGCACCCTTACTTCTAAATATATTTTTCATCATGTTTTGTCAAATAATTTTGTCTTTAGATCTTATATTTCTTGTTTTCTTGAAACTATCTTAGATCTTTACAATATGTACTGTTTTATTATCCAAAATTTGCAGAAATCTGAACTCAGTAAACTTGGTATGGTCGTAAATTTTGCATCAAACTGCTATTGCTCTGATTTTCATTTCCCTTTTTTTCTTCTTCGTCCGGAATCCTAATAGAGTACAAAGTGTAGTTAGATTGGGATCTAGTTCTATGTTCGAATAGTCTATACAAGCAAATTACCCTTATGATGTATGGAAATATAAATAGAAAATATTTATGTAGAAAATGGAAAATGTGCAGCTTAGGCTTAGTTGTCTTCCGTCTGATGACAATAGGTTTGCCTTTTCCTGAAGTATAGCTAATGATAACAGACATATTCGAAGTTGTGCAAAATTTGGGTTGTCTGTGGAACTTTCAGGTTTCACTTATTTTAGTTTTTCAGTCATTAGGATTATCACACTGGCAGTACTATCGTAATTGTTCTTCCCCTAATTCTGTCATGCTGTTCTTTGATTAGGCTATTTTATTTGGGGACGATTGGGATCAAATTTTATTTTTTATTTTTTTTAATTTTTGTTTTATTTTGTTTATATTTCTACTTAAAATAAAATATGTTTGGTATGTTATAACTTGATTAATTATTTTTAAAAACACTCAAAAAAAATTTTTAGTTGTAAAGAATACTTTTAAAAATAAATTAATATCCTTTTGAAAACAGAAAAATAAAAACATGCAAAAGATCACTAAACAATCATATTTTTAAAATAAAAGTAAAAAATAAAAAAAAAACAAAATATAAAAAATACAAGTGATCCCAAAGAAGCCCTTTGCTTTTTAGCAATTATATAAAGAATGTATGCTCTTTCTCTCGGTGGATTCTAAATCAAATAATATTTTATGATTTGATTGTACTCTTATTGGAGGGCCCTAAAAACTTTAAACAAAATAACTCAAAAACATGCAATGCTAAATTAATGATAGCATTACTTACTATAACAAAAAAAAGGATCTAATGACTTGGAAAAATACTTTTGGAATGAGGATTGATTACAAAACCCTCATTCAAAGTAAAAAAACCGTAATAAAATCATAAATGGAAATGATCTATTCCTCATAAAGAATTAAACAAAAAAATGAATAAATTAATAAACATAGAAAATATAATAAGTATAGAAAACATATAGGATATGAATAAAAATAAAATAACGAGAGGAATGTGGTTTTGAAATCTACACGCCTAACAGAAAGGAGAAGGATTTTTAGAATCCAAAAAATGCAATAGGGGAAAACAATTTTTCCCCAAAATGTTAATCCTCTCTTTTTTCTTTCTCCCTTTGATGGCTTTTGATAGTGGAAGCAGCTTGCTAGTGATTTGAAAACATTGCACTTTGAAGCTAGGGAGCAATATGATGAGGGAAACACTAGATAGCGCAGAGGAAAAAATAGAAGATGATGAGGAGAAAACATGAAAAATCTAGATAGAATTTATTCAACATATTCATTTGTTTACGTTCTTCATGTTGTGCGTGGAAGAATAAGGCAACTTCTTGGCATGTAAGCTCTACTGTGATCACCATATTTGTCGAGATGGACAAAATAGCCAATTGAAGGAGTATTGTAGGAGAAGAGAAATAAGGATGTGACGTGTGGGAAAATCCCACGATTCTATGGGATTGTAATAAATCCTACAATTGTGGGGGAGAAGGGGGAGGGGGTTGGGCAAACAGTCGCATGCTCACTCATGTTTTAATTTCAATAGATTTTTTCCTTTCTAATTTTTTTTCTATTTCTTTATTCTAATTAGGGTTATTTGCTTTTAGGAGATTATTTATATGTTGTATTTGACTCTTTGAGACTTTAGCTTGGTTTTTATATATTTTGTAGACTTATTTTCTGATTTTCTGCTCTCTAGAGTGTTGTAGCCATTTCTTTTTGCAAGTGGTGCATCTGTAGTTTGCCCAAAAATAGGTAGTTGATCTCCTTCGCCGTCCGTACCTTGTCGTTTCGTCGATTGACCATTTCGTCGATTGACGATTTCGTCGCATCGAACATTCTCTTTACAAATATTGTTGGACTTTCATATTCTCATCCCCTTAGTATCTTGCAGCCATGTTGCTGCTAAATTTGTTTTCTAAGCACCTTCTAGGAGCGTTAGAATGGTGTCATCTTATATTAGAATCTGATAAATCCTATAATTTTAGGGATTTGTCTTTCTTGCTCCTACATAAAAAATCATAAAACTGAACCTAATACAAACTTATATCCGCCAAATCCTAATTAGGAGAAAATGACACAACATTGCCTAGGAGGAACACTCAAAGAAATGTCTAGAAACTTACTATGGAGAATAATAATAAAAAATCCTCAACCAAAACAAAAACTTGTCTCTTTTGATATTAGACAATTTCGACAGGTCGCCGATAACCACAATGATGACTTACTAGATTGACAGGAGGAAGTAAATCGTTTCAATAAATAAATTTCCTGTGATGAATAATGAATATCCTAGTCTTTTGACATGGAATATTAGAAAAAAGTCATGATTTTGGAAGAAGATTTATTTACCAGATTTTAATGGTCGCATTGATCCGAATGAGTTTATTGAGTGACTCTAAACAATAAAACAAACTTTTGAGTATAAAGATGTTCCTCAGGACAAAAGAGTTAAAGTAGTAGTCATCAATCTCTAAAAATACTTTATTATGGAAGCGAAGAGTAAAATCATCACATGATTTAAAGATAGGGAGATGCAGCATAAATAACTTTCTTCCCATTACCAATAGGACATGTTTATAAAACTTCACAAACTTCATTAAAGATATTCTTCTCTGAGGAACAACATAACTAAAGTTGATCAGCTCATGCTGAAATGTTAGTTGGAGTCAGATGAACACATAGTGGAGATCTATTTTGGAGAGTTGAACTCAGCTACTGGTAATGTAGTGCAGTTGTAGCTGTATTGATTTCTACTCGAGGTACAAACCCCAACCTTAAAAATGGAGAAGATGCATCATCATTAAGTGATTATCACATATTACAAATAGAGCTCAACCCCTAGATCAGACTACAAGAGTACACCCAATGGAACACCCATGCCAACCCTGCCGAGGGGAAATCAATCCAAAGTGGAGAAAAGGTTGATACCATCTGTCACTACTTGACCCAGGTCTTCGAGTTAAGTAAGGCGGGTACAAATGATTGGACGCTTGAAATTAAATTTTTTTATATTTATTTCTATAACTAATATTTAAAAAATGAAAGAGTCACTAAAGAAAACAATTTAAAATAAGACAATCTGGTATTTCTCATTTGCTATAAATATTTCTTATATAATGTTCATCTTTTAATCATATAGTAAAACCTGAAATGTGGTTTAAAATAATAGTGAACTAATCATATCAGTGAATATTCATACTCTTAAACTGTAGTAAGACAATGAAAAGAGAATTTGAAGGTTTGTTACATCTAATATGATTATTCAATATAATTATAAACATTCATTGCCTTATCGTATTATTTACATATCAGTATTTTTTTAATATGTATACAACTGTCACAAGAGTATCGTATAAAGCTTGTACCAATGAAGGTACATCAATATCAATATCTGTTTTCATTTACGTGCACAAGTACTTTAGTTTTCTTCCGCTAGTACCATAAAGAGGTGAATTTCATGATAGTCAAGCATGCACCTGCAAACATACTACAAGAATCACCATCTAATAATGATTATTTCATTTTCATTTGTATAATAACCAATATTCTTGTATAATATTCAATATCTATAATAATTTAAACTATGTTAAGTACACATGTCATTTCTACAATATGAATAAAAAAATCAATAGAACCATAATTCATGGGTATGCTTTGATACAAATATAACTAGTAATAGTAAAACATTTAGTTGAAAAGAAATAAATATTATTATAGCATAATGACATGATTACTCACCTCAATCATTGATAACTCTCATGCTAATTGTAGTCCCAATCTATATCCAATGAAATCCTTTCATGAAATGTATAATAGATTATTATTAATTTATTTTATGTTAATCTTATTATTAGAAAACAATTTTTTTAGTTTTATTTTTATTTTTTATTTTATGTTCTCCAAATTTATTTTTTCAAATTTATTTCAAACTTTTAACACACACACACACACATATACACACATATATTTACTAATAAATAAACATAAAAGAAATAACCCTAACCTCATGGTTCTTGCTGGAGACCGAGTTCGCCATTTTGCTCCTTTCATGATCGTCAAATGGCCTTCTGCTCCAGAGTCGAGATGGAAAAACGATCAACGTGCAAGCGCACGAACTCAAGTATCGCCGCTTCAGCATTCCGCTTTGACACGTTCACATTTCTTCCACTTGGAAAGCATGGATGCTTCTTCGTCATCTTCGCCTTCTCGATGGCGTCGTCTCTTTTGGCTTTGATCACTATCGTCGTCGCCCTTGTCAAGACGATGTCTCCTCCCTCTCAAAAGCAATGTCCTTCCTTATGGTACCCGCACTAAACTGTTAGGGTTCGCACGGTGCTCCTACTCGTGTCTCACTCATATGATTCTTTCTTCTCATTATTATTATTCTTCTTCTTCTAACAAGCCTTCATCGACACTCAAATCCACTCTCGAGTCACTTACATCTCTGTTGTTGCATTCCTACATATTGATCAGCCCTGCAGGTATGCTCACGTTCATGATCTGAGTGGCGTCACCCTCATCTCGCTCTCCTTCCTCTCGGCGATGTCTCTGCTTCTATTCTTTAGTCTCCTTTCCTGTTCTCTTTTTCGTCTCTTTATAAAAATTAGGGCTGTCAAAGAAGCTCGTTGTTCGCGAACAGCTCGTGATCGGCTTGTTAAGTAGTTTGTGTTCGGCTTGTTCGTTAAGTAAACGAGCCGAACACGAACAAGTTTTTAAA